TCTCTTCTTAGCAGACACCAAGAGAAGCACCCTGGCTCCCACTGCCATCCCCACCTGTCCCTCCAACCCACAACAGGGCTCTCCAAAACCCCGACAGAGCTTCCCCTTCTGCATTCCAGCAGGACACAGCAGTCCCTGGGACAGCACTGCCAGGAGCAGGAATGCATTTTCCGTGCTTAGGGCACTGGTGTGGGCTGGGGACACCCTGGTGCCATCAGAGCCATTTGTCACCTCAGGCCACTCTGGAACAGGGTGTGGGGAGCTGCTCTGCTGCCTCTGCCAGGCAAAACTCCCGTGCTGCAAACCAAATCCTGCAGAGGAACATCCCCGGGAGCCATATGGTGTCTCTGAGGCTTTGTGGAGTTGAACAAAACCCAAAGCAGCCCGGCAGGCTGGACTGTGAGCCATGGTGAGCCCAGGGGACCTGTCCTGCCCTGCTTGGGGCTGCCAGCCTGGGTGCTCAGGAGTGTGCTGGTGTCTCCTGCCAGCGCAGGAGCTGCTGAGAGTGGGGGTTTGCGCGTAAAGGAGGATGTGTTTGTGGTCAAGTGACTCAAGTGGAGAGAGCAGCATCCCAGAGCAGCATCTCAAACACCAGTCAGACAGCAGGTGGGTCAGGGGAGCTTGGGGACATGTGGGGTTTGCTCTGAGCCTGTGCCAGGAAAGCCATGACTCAAACCTGCTCTCAGGGCTGAGGACAGCACTGCCAAGCCACCAGGGATTGCTGGAGAGGTCTGCCCTGAGCTCTGCTCCTGCTGGCTGGGGGATAAACAGTGCTGCAGCACACAGGAGAGGGGGTACACAGCCTGATAGGGTCCACCCAAACGAGTCCCAAACCCACAGGGGCAAGAAAAATGACTCAGGAGAATTTCTCTGTGATTTTACCTTGCACCTCACTTTGTGATGCTCTGAGTCTGCTGCGGAAAGGCACAGCCCAGGCTGGTTAAATCTCAAAACTTATATTAAGCATTTCCTGCCTGGTCTCCAGGAGCTGTGGGCAGCATTTTCCATGCTGGAAAACAGGCTGGAGGAGGGATGTGTGCCCTCCACCTGGAGCTGTGGGGGCTGCAGTGACTCACTGATATCAGGGGGCTGCCCAGAAAGGACCTGTGGATGTTTAATGTTGCAAAGGCTTCTGGAGGTTTTACATAACTGTAAAAAAAAAAAAAAGGCAGATTTCAGAGTTTACTCTAAATGAAAAAGGGAGGGATGATTGTCTCTGACTGGTCATGGATTCATTTTTTAATTGTGTACCCACAATGTGTTGTCATGCAAGAAAAATCTAACCCTTACAAAAACTCATTTCAGAATGAGTAACTGCAACATTTTTTCAGTCATTGTCTAAGAGGGCTGTTGCTGGACTGCTGGGGCTTCCCTTCTCACCAGAATGATATTCTGGTGTAATTAATGGGGCATTTGGGCTCTGATAGCTTTTGCTTCCATCTAGTTTCTCATGAAAACCCTCCTGATGCCTCTCAGATCTTCATGAAGGTATGTAAGCTTTACTCCCCCACTTTCTCCCTCCCAGAAGGAGGATGGGAACTGGAAAATTCTCCCAATTTCTTGGCAGAGAGGCTGAGGTGATGTGGTTCTGCACAAAGCAGGTCTGGCCATGGACTCTGGCAGCAGTTTTATCTTCTTGCTGGGCTGGAAATCGTGACCTCAGCCATTGCAGCAGGTGTTCTCTGGAACAACTCTGCAAAGAAATTGGTTTAAATAGCAATGGCATAATTTATCCCTCTGAACAAACAAAGTGTTAATTTGAATGAGGCGTGAAAAAAAAAAAATCTGTTAAATTTTCAGGGCTTTGCTTGGTTTTTCTGCACCCAAACAGGCTCTCAGAGCTGTGCCTTGTGCTTGTCCATCACTGCCTGCAGAATGCCCAGCACAGACAGGCCATTTCTGCTGATAATGGGAAAGTCAGTGATTGGTCCTGCTGTCAGTAGGTTTTAGCTTGGACAGAAACTTCCACTAATCAGCTGCTTTGTGGCATTTCTACAGCAAGATAAAAGACACCTGGAATTATTTGTTGGTCACCAGGCAAATGTTTTACTGGTGAAATGTTCCAGAGGCTGTTTAGAGTCTTGATTGGCAAAAGTGCCAAAAATTTACAGCGCTCTCCATGCTCTCCCCTCCTGAGATTCATGGCTGAGATGGGAGATGGAGATGATGGAGGTGATGGAGGTGATGGAGGTGATGGAGATGATAGAGGTGATGGAGGTGATGGAGGTGATGGAGATGATGGAGGTGATGGAGATGATGGAGGTGATGGAGATGATGGAGGTGATGGTGATGGTGATGGAGATGATGGAGGTGATGGAGGTGATGGAGGTGATGGAGATGATGGAGGTGATGGAGGTGATGGAGGTGATGGGAGATGGAGATGATGGAGGTGATGGAGGTGATGGAGGTGATGGAGATGATAGAGGTGATGGAGATGATGGAGATGATGGGGATGGTGATGGAGATGATGGAGATGATGGAGGTGATGGAGGTGATGGAGTTGTAGATAAAGGAGATGGAGACACCTCATGCAAGCGCTGCAGGGGTTGAAGTGTGGGGAGAAGTTCGTTTGTTATGCAAATGTCTGCTTGAGCCTGGCGTAGACAGTGGAAAGCTCGAATTATTTTAGGCAGAGGACAAAAGTTCTCTCCATCCCCCTATCATCTTGGATCCTTGAAAAAACAAAACAGAAACCTCTGTGTGAACCTTCTGACAATGATCAGCTCTTGGCTTTTCTGGCAAGAGCTGGGTGTGCACAGGCACATGGAAATAGAACAATTAAGGGAAAAAAATGGTATTGGAAGCAGCCAAGTGATCATCCTCCAGCCTTATCTCTTGGATCCTGCCAGGGACAGCAGAGCTGCAGGGCTCCTGGGTGGCCACAGAGGAGCTTCCTTGCTGCTACCTTGTCCTCAAGGTAGGGCTGTGGCTCAGCCTGGGCTCTCTGGGCAAGGAGAGGAGCAGGGTTGGCTGTTCTGGATGCAGGAAGTCCTTTCAGGCCCAAAGTTGGAGCTGGGAGGCTGGCCCATGCCAGGGAGGCACCCGTGCATGGCAGTGACCTTCCTGCTCTGGCCGCTGGCTGGAGCTCCCCGGCCACCCACCCACAGCTTTGCATGAGCAGATGTGCATTTCATGCTGCTAAGAAAATCCTGACAGTATTTACATAGTGTCCAGGGGCACCAAGGGGACAAAGCTGAGCCTTTCCCACGTGGGCAGTGATGCCACACTGCCATTTCCATGGGGAGAGCCAAACCTGTGCCACATGCTCCAGCAGCATGGGCAGTGTAAGGCAGTGGTGCTGCCTGTACTCTGCCCACAGGCAGCTGTGGTAAAACCCTGTTTTCCAGACAGGTTGCATCTCCCCAGAGTGGTTTCCCCCTGAGCTGAGCTCTCCCCTGGCCTCAGCATCCTTACATCCCTGAGAAGGCCCAGAGGGCTGCTGCACTCTGCTATACAGAGTATATAGGAATATATGGGGCTGGTTAAAGCTGGGAATGAATCAGCTTTTTAAAAGGGTTTTCAGACAAGCCCTTGATCTGTACCAGAAGGATTGGTTCACTGGTTCTGCAGCCCTGTGGTCAGGTGTCGGGGGGACAGACTTTCTGCCTCGCTGGGTGCTGGCACAGCTTGGCCCCTGCTGAGGAACCTCTCTTTCTCCACGCAGTGCATGTCACACAGGGTCACTTCCAGTGATTCCTGCCTGGGGGTTCCTCCCAGCCCTTCCCAAAGGCACCAGGGCTCAGAGCTGTGCTGCATCGCTGCTCCCCAAAGCACGTGGGTCCCTGGGGCTTTGCTGGCGTCTCTGAGGGAGGGCAGCGAGGCCATGGAGGCTGGGGAAAACCCTTAACAAGGCTCAACAACCCCCTGAGAGCCCCATCCAGCCTCCAGAGTAGAGTTCAAGTCATTGTGGGCTCTGCTGGCTCCTCCTAAGGGTCTCTTGCACCCCTGTTGGCACAGGTCACCCCTGTGAGCTCCAGACCCACCTGGTGTGCCACACCTGGGCTGTCACTGGCCAAGACTGCAGGTGGCACTGATCTGGGGAGGTTCAGGAGCCCCTCCCAGGCACAGGGCAGAGAAAATGGAATTATTTTCCTTGGCATGGCCGGGAGATGCTGGCAGGACTTCCCCAGTAAAGCCAACATGTCTCTGCAGGGCCACCTGCCCCCAGCCAGGTGTGAGCCAGGTGCAGTGGAAGGAGCTGTGGCTTGTGGTACAGCAACACCTGGACCGTGTTTTCCCCTCTGTATAAAATGCTTTGTTTCCTTAGAGCCATGTCTGCACTGCAAAGTCCCCACTGTCATTCTTCAACACTTAAAAGCAGTTGCCTTCATGGGCATTTTTGAAATTGTTTGAAAAATCCGTGTGGGCATTACAGTGTTTGTTTTCCCTGATGACTATTTTTAATCTTGTTTTTCATTTAAAAAAAAATAAATCAAGATAGATATGAATTGAAACTGCGCCTTTAAATATGACGTGCTGTTGGCTGCCCAAAACCAAACACAAAACAAGGGAGACTTGGAGCATGTGCCTAAAAGCTGGGAAAGGCTGAAGCTTTGAATGCCTGGCAGCACTGAGTGCAGAGCCCAGGAACCATGGCCAGGGCACGGTGCTGGCACCAGAGGGGTTAACAAGGCAGGTTCACCCTGCAAGGAAAGAGCTGGAAGTGGCTTTTCCAGAGGAGATGCTGGCACCCCACTCTTCCCCTTGGCACCCAGCCTGAGAGAGCCACCCGAGCACCCCTGAAGGACACGGCGCAGCCGAGAGCAGCCCTGGGCAGCGCTGGCAGTGACAAAGGCAGCCAGGGGATGTTCATTTCCATGCCCTGCTGGTTTCCAGCGCTGGAGAGGAGCTGTGCAGGGAGCTGCACCCTCCCCCAGCTCCCTGGCCCGTCCCTGGGGCTCTCTGCTTTTGTTCCTGTGCTGGGGACTTGGCCAAGCAGGGCCTGGCCCGAGCCAAAGGCTGCGAGAGGCCGAGAGGGCACGGTGCTCCCTGCAGCAAGCCAGGGACGGGATGGGGGCCCTGCAGCGGGGCTGCTGTGAGAGGAACACCCCAAAAGCAGAGGCAGAGCCCTGCCCTGCAGTGCTGGCAGTGCCATGTCACACTCAGTGCTATGCCAGGCTCAGCCCCGTGCTGCCTGGAGACCATGATGCTCCAGGACAGGAGCAGCTCTGCACGGCCTGCTCTGTATTTCAGGATGTTCCAGGGATGTTCCAGGCTGAAGGCAGGAAGGGGACACAGCACCATGTGGGAAATGCAGTGGCACAGACCTTGATGCATGTTGTGGTGAGCTATTTTAAGATTTTATCTCGCTAGCCTCTGACAAAAATGTGCTATGGAGCAGAGCTTATCATGTGCAATTTGGCACATGGGGCTAGTGAGGGGACAGTGGAGCTGATCCCTGGAGCTGAGGCAGGTGACACAGAGCCAGCAGAGCAGCAGTGGTGGGTGCTGCTGGTACAGATGTGTGTGCCACAGGAGATGGGCATGGACAGGGTCCAATCCAGCCAGCAAAAGCCAGGTATCTGAGCCAAAATCCCAGGCCAGGTCTGAATCAGGGGAGTGCCAGCTTTGCTGTGCTCCTGGCTTCCTGGTGTCACCCAGAGCATGAGGATGGACTTCAGCTGGGACCTTCCAGTTTCTAAACTTTGGATCTTCTAAACAGGGTTGGTTGGTCAGATGAATGATGCTGCCTCCTGCAGCTCCCATTCCCCATGGCTGTGCCCCAGGAGCTCAAGGCATTAGGAGCAGAGGTGAGTGGGCCAGGGTGTGAGCCCTGGGGTTGCCTCCAGCTCCTGCTGGCTCCCCTGGGGAGGGCAAGGGGGTGCTGGGCTGGGCCACTGCAGACAAACCCCAGGAGGGGAGGAGGTGCAGCTCTGCAAACACTCCAACCCACAGCAGCACCCTGCACTGCTGCCACCCGAGGCTCTGGGAGTTATCACCCTCGCCCTTTCGGCTGCTGGGGCTGGAGATTAGGGAGCTGCTCCTTATCAGCCCTCTGTCCTGCCCCTGTGGGGCTCCCCTCTCAGTCTTACTCACTGGAGAAATGAGTAAGCCTGTTGTAACCACCATGCTGGGACCTGTGGGGCTGTGCTCGATGGGTTGGGGGTTTCTAAAGCATCTCTGCACAGTGACCTGCAGCAGCCAGGACACGCTGCAGACACCCACCAGAGCTGGGGCTGTGCTGGAGCCCAGGGCCCTGCACAGACAGAGCTCAGTGTCTGATGAGAATGGGGAGAGTTAATTCTGTGTGTGTGCAGAGCAGGGAGGGGAAATCCAAGGTCCTCACATGTCCACAATCTCCAGAGTCTCACTTGCACACAGACCCCACACCTGCCCCCAAAACCATTGCCTGTGCACAAAGCTCTTGGCCCAGCCTCTGAACATGGGCCCAGCTCCTGTGTGTGTGTGTATCCATCCATCCATCCATCCATCCATCCATCCATCATCCATCATCCATCATTCATCCATCCATCCATCATCCATCCATCCATCATCCATCCATCCATCCATCCATCCATCCATCCATCCATCCATCCATCCATCATCCATCCATCCATCTATCCATCCATCATCCATCCATCCATCCATCCATCCATCCATCCATCCATCATCCATCCATCATCCATCCATCCATCCATCCATCCATCCATCCATCCATCCATCCATCCATCCATCCATCCATCCATCATCCATCCATCCAAGCATCCATCCCCTGCCTCCCCCAGCATCTCTACACAGCCACCATTTCCAGCAGTTTATTTGACAGCTCCAAGAAAATATTCCTGCACTCTCCAGCTCCACGAGGCACATGACCCGGACAGTGCCAATGGAATAAACATTTGGATTTAATTTATTATCTTTCCTGCAGGCTCTGTCTCGGCTGGCAGCTGCAGAGGGGCCGCGGCTGCTCCCTGCCTGCAGGACAGGGGCCGGGGCAGCCTGGCAGCCTTTACCCAACTCCATGGGATATTTTTATTTTTTTTCCATTCAAGCCTGTGCAGGGTTCCTGGCAGGACTGGAGCTTTCGTCCAGATTGCAGATGCCCAAAATATCTGTATTCTGGGTGAGCAGACTGAGGCTGAAGTGCCCGTGGTTGGCTGATTGAAGAGGACATAGGGGAATGCAGAGAGACAGACAGACAGACAGAGGAAAGGTGCCTGAGCATGTATGGCAGCAATAGGATGGGGGATGCCCCTGGGGTCTGCCCCATCTCCAGGCACGCCTCCCACACCAGCATGGGATATTTTTGCTGTTTTGCTCAGTCTGCTGAAGCCTGAGCTCAGCCCAGGACATGGTTTTACCCCAGATTAGCTTGTGCTACCAGCCACTAAATTTGATTGCATTATGCTATCAGATGTTATTTGTTATGTTATGCTTCTCATTTTAAATTACATTCTAAACTGTATTTCACCTGGCACCTTCAGGAGCCAGGATTTTGTGAAATTAAAGTTAAAATGCCAGTTGAAATAAGGCATTTATATGAATGCACACAGCTACTGGTAAAAACCAAGTGTTTGTTCATATATACATGTTTCTAATCAGGTTTATAATGTATATAATATAAAAGTTTTTCTACATATAAAATTCACTGGAAACAGGAAACCAAATTAGTTTACCTTACTAAAGTGGCATGAAATAAAGAGCAGTCTACACTGTTGAAAAGAAGGTAGGATGTGGTTTTTGGAGGACTTTTCTTCCCCTGAGGGCTCGTTCTACCATGTTTATGTCTAAAACCTGATAATTTTAAAGCCAGCTCACAGGAGACTAATGGCATGACTCATTTATTTCATTTCACTTTCATTTTGCAGAGCTCAGGGTTTGTTTAAGGTGCTCACATGTCAGCAGCTCATGCAGACACACCAGTGGATGCTACAGGGGACCACAGGGTGTATGCACACTCTGACTCCCCCTGTTTATCCATGAGCAGGAGCCACTCCAATGAGCTGAGTCTGATTTTAAAAGATCTTTTGAATGTTGAACATGTAATGAGATGCTCAGCGCTATTTTCAAACCAAGACATGTTCCTGGCTGATTTACAAAAAGCCACAGTCTCCACTTTTATGTGGGCAAATGATTTTAAAAACTGGGTCCTGGGATTTTGGGTGCTCATCGATTCACCCTCTGACAAGCCTCTGTCTCTGACCTTTCCATTACCAACTTTTCCATCTCCAACTGCTTCATCATCCTCCTGAGCATGGGTACACAGCTAATAAATCTGAGTCTTTAATTGCCCTCCCACACTGTGTGGCTTTATCTGAGCCATCATTCCTGTTGCTGTGCTGTGTTGCATCTTCCTGCTTCCAGGTTTGTGCTGCTGGAGGCAGCAAAAGGATAGAACTGTTATTTAGTTTGGGTTTAGGTACAAATCCCTGCAGTACCACACTCCATGGCTGCATGGCCCCACACGATGTGTCAGACATGGCTGAGTTTTGGACAGACCCTCTGCTTTTATCTCATGCAAGGTCTCATTTTTTGATTCTTTATGCAGCTGAAACCACACAAAAAATGTGTTTAGGGAAAAAAATCCCCACAAATCCACCATAAATTCCCCTGCTAAAGCCATCAGTAAGGGTGAAGGGTCCTGCTGGCCCAGTGGTGCCAGGACCACTGAGGTGGAAAAGCCTCAGGTCCCAAAAACACCCAATGCCTCTGCATAAAAGGGAGATTTATTGATTCCCCTCCAGTTTATCCCCCTGCCAGGAGGTTTCCCACAGCCCTCCAGGAGTGGTGCAGCAGTATCAGCAGGCACAGGTCTATCAGGCTGAGCAGAAGCTTTTCCAGGAACTATCTAGTGAAACACGTGACAGTGCCCAGCTGAAGGGTGATACGTGACAGGCATTCACCAGGTTCCTGGCCAGTCAGTTGACTTTGTTATTCAAACTATTTTAGTGATGGGTTTTAATCCCAGGCTTAAGTTTTGTTCTATTTTTCTTTTTTTTCCTCCCTCTTCTTTTTTTGCTCTCTGAACAAGGGAATCTCTACGCTGGCAAGATTCAGAGAGGCACAAAGGAGGGAAAAACAAGTTTCAGCCAGAAGAGAGGGAAAAAAAAAAAAAAAAGGATGCTGTTAGCATTCCCTGTATTTGAGGGGGTAAAAACATTTTGCTGTCAACTCTGTTTTAAAGGGTAAGTGACAAGGGCAGCCCAGTTACTATGCAAATAAATCCTGTGCTCAGCCTTTTTCTCTCAGTGCAAAGTTTTGGTACTGGGGATTGTTAGCCAGGGGGGCTGGGCCGTGGGGGCTGGCAGTGCCCCCCACGTCCCCAGTGCTCCCAGCCCCATTCTGGGGATAGCCACTGGCTGGGGGTGCCACTGCAAAGCTCTGGACCTTGCCAGGAGCCCATGGGGGTGCCCCAGATGAGGTGGGACAGTGGGGGGAGCACTGCAGAGGTGTGGGCTGGGTACCCCCTGCTCCTTATCATAAGCAGATTCAGGCAGCTGCTGGCAGCAGAGCCCTTGGCTGTGACTCTGTGACAGGGGACAGCCCAGGGAGAGAGAGTGCCTGAAAGGGCAGAAATCTCACCCAGGACATCCCCTTTCATGGCAAGAGGGGAGGGTCTGGCAGCAGCCACCCTGGGGTACGGGGCTGTCTCTCACTCGCTGCTGCCAGGTGGAAAGGGAGGTGATGTCAGGACACGATGCCAGTCTGTGGCTGGGCTCATCCAGATGATCACCAGCACCCCAGCACTGGTATTTATGGTGACACTTCCCCATGACAGCAGAGGGGCTGCACATGCCCCAGCCCACACAAGCCAAACCTCCCCCTGACAGCCCCAGTGTGATGGTTTCCTATAAAAAAGATTTGAATTTGTCATGCAAATGACTGGGCATGCAGGCACAGCTGCTGAGGGGCAGCCTGGGCTGGGTCGGCTGCCAGCATGGCCACAGGGATGTGCCCAGGAAAAGGTCTGGCCCCCCAAAGCTGCTCCTACCCCTGGAACCTGCCAAGCAGATGGTGCTGCCAGGGCTGTGCTGCCAAAACCACGCAGCCCTTGCTGCTCCTCCTGGTGCCTGTGGCTCACTGAAGCTTTTAAAGCAAGCATTGTGACCCTGCTGCTCGTCCCCTCCCCTGGCTTCTGTCTGGCTGAAGCAGAGCTGAGCTGCCCAGGATGAGCTTGCTTTGTGCTGGGACAACATAAGGAGATGGAAGAGGATGCTCCATCAAGCAATGCACTAAAAAAAATAAAAATAAAAAAAAAAATATATACTTTTAAGCAATTTCAAAATGATTTAAGCACTTGCTCTGTGCCACCCTGATCAGTGGGGAGCCAGGCAGCCACTGCCTCTCACTCACACCCCACTGCTCATGCTCTGCAGTTTATCTCTTGTCTTTCAAACACAGCAAAGGCTTTGAGCTCTTCCCACTTGGAGCTGTTTCCCAGCCTAGCACAGGACAGGGCAGTGCCTGGGCTCCTTTCTGGAGGCTCCCAGCACCACCTGCAATGTGGAACCTGGCAGCACAGCCCTGCTCCCACCGGGAAGGAGGATGGCAGAGTTCATTATTCTGCCCGCCCTCCCGCAGTTTCACAGCCGGGTTTTTGCAGACATGAAGGCAGCAGGTTGGGCTGCTGTTTTGATGTGGCCGTATCTCGAAATGAGCCCGGAGCAAAACTGAGCGGGATCCAGGAGCGGCACCCGGCAGCGCTGGTGCTGGGAGCGCCGCCTGCGCCCTCGCTTCCTGCCACTTTGGCCACCTTTCAGGAAATCAGACAGCTAAATGGAAAACCATCACTCTTTTCACTCCAGAGTGCACAGCACACACGGGTTTCTTCAACAAGAAATCGATTTGCAGCAGCCGTGCTGTCCCCATTGAGCGGGGGAGATGTGTGAGCCCAGTTGAGCAGCACCAGGCACCACCTCAGTGCTGCTGGGCTGGGGCCAAGTGCTCCCCAGCAGCTCCCAGCACCCCCATCCAAAAATCCTCCCCTCCCTTCTCCTCAGAAGGACTCCTGACAGGGAGAAAGAAGAATTGCTGAGCAATCTCCAGCCTCGATAGCACTTCAAAGGCAGGGCCTGGGCCAGGCTGCGCTCCCGCCAGCGCCGGGCTGGATGCGGCTCTCGGCTCTTACTCCTTTGGCAGCCCCACAGAGTATCCAGAAAGTAATTACTTAAAAAGGAAATAAATGTCACCCACATGGTTGTAAGCAAAACCCTGAGCAGGATGAACAGAGCCCCAGCAGGATCTGCATTCTCACGCAACACAAGCAAGGCAGGAGCGAGTTGTTTCCATTCACCGGGATGTGCTGTTTACTCTGAGGGCCACTGATGACACTAGACATGCCCACCGTGGGCATTTAAATTCCCCAGGGTAGCCACAGTGCTGAACTGCCTCTGCTTTCATCCTACAGCATCCTCTTCCCCCAGGATGCCTTTAGGCATCACCACCTGAACCAGCAGCAGATACCGGTGCCAAAACCGCGGCCCCTCCTGGCACCAGGCCTGCCGTGAGCTTTATGGGGATGAACCAGATAACTGGCATGATCAAACAGTAATTTTATTTACTTTTACAGATTGATTCTTGATGTGTGTAATTGTCAAAACCTGAACACCAAAATTCTAAAGCAAGTTGGCTGGGGAAAGTCAAATTCAGCTCCAGAGCAGAAAATGAGGCTCAAGGGTGAGAGTCTCTGCCTGGTTCTGCTGGATCTGAGACAACCCTCAGCAAATCCCCTTAAAGCAGGACAGGGCTCTGACAGACCACTCTCTTTCAGAGAAATTCCATTTTAGAAAAATAACCCAAACTTATTTTAAGCAAATAACAGAAGGAAAGTGATGGCCTGAAAACTCTGGGATGAGTTTGGATGAGTACCAGGATGGCAGCACCTCCCACCCTCTGCTCCACACGGTGTGAGGAAGCACTTGGTACCAGCCCACAGGGTTTTGTGAGCTCTGAGGTGTCTCAGGACATGCAGAGCAAGGGCAGCACGTGGGACACGCTCCCAGCCCAGCAGCCAAGCAAACATGGTACCATACAGCATCGAATAATTTTAAAAGTTAAAATAGTTTATTGCTGTCTTTGTAGAAATGCACTTACATCGCCTGTTCTCTTCCTTTATTTGGCTGTTGGATTACAGGCATGAAAAGGTTACATTTACCCATTTGTTCAGTGACATAACACCTTTTTCTCTATTGCTCCACTCATGATATTCTCCTAAACCTTGCTGGCCCAACAGCCCCAAATCTCTTTTACATAAATACTGTAAATGTCTCCATAGGTTGCAGCATTGTAACAAAAGATCTACCAAAGTAGACAAAATGTTCAGTATTCTTGGTTGGTTTTTTGCATTTAAAAATATACCTAAATTTGAGATAATCTTAACAGAGTAACAATTACAATAAGAAAATAGTACAGTGCGTTGACTAAAGGAATATTCTGCTCTCCTTCAAGCCAATATTCCCTTTTGCATGTTGAAGTGATTCAGCAATTACTTAAGAACTTTTACCTACATACAATAATTTAGTAAAATGAGAATTAAACAAGGCAGATACTTACTACTATTCTTCTGTCTGCAATTCACAGCTCATGCGAATAAAATCGCAATAAATATTAAAAAATAGTTTTTCTTTTGCTTTTTTTTTTTTTTTTCTGTAAGGCATCTCTGAGTATTACAAAGTTTTTGTACAACCAAAAAATAAGATTGCTTTTTTTCCATGTTCTCCAAGTACCTCTGTACCTCACCAGTAAATAAGAGGATTGTAGGCTGGATGAGGAAGGAAGGAGGGGGGCAGAAAGAAGACCACAGGTGATGGAAGCAGACCACGATGTGTGCAAGAATCTGTAGTTTTCCTGTGAAAAATTTCAGCCGCGCATTTAGAACATCTTCAAGACAGTATCTGTCCAGATTGAAGGAAAAAAAAAAAAAAAAGTAAAATGGGGGGGAAAAAAAACTTACCAGAAGTCCACTTTCATAAGCACAACCAGACTGCAAGGGTTTGGGCTCGCCCTCAACACTATAAATAGCTTAGGCATCGATACGCACCTACGTAAGGGGGGATAAAGGGACGGGGGGCCATTTTTTTTTTTTGTTTGTTTTGTTTCTTTTACGGTATTTTTTTTGTGGTTTTGCTGTCCTAGTGGTATCCTTGCACGGTGAGAGATTGTCCTGGGGGGCCTGGCGGGCCCTCACTGCATGCGGTCGGGCTGCAGCTGCTGCGGCTGGTACTGCACGAAGGCGGTGGCGGGCGCCGCGGGGTTGCTGGCGGTGATGGGCGGCTGCACCGTGCCCGTGTAGCCGTATCCCACGAAGCCGGCGGCGGGGGAGGCAGCGTAGGGGTACTGGTCGTAGGCAGCTGTGGTGTACTGGGAATAGGCTTGGCTGGCGGCGGTGTAGTCGATGTAGGGGGACGTGATGGACTGCACGGGGGTAGGGATCACCACGCTGGGCTGGATGATAGCTTGGGGGTAAACATAGTGAGGTGTGAGCCTGTGGAGGAAAAGGGAGAGAGTCACTGAGGGGCTGGGCTCCCCCTGGCCTTCCTCCCCCCAAATTCATGTGCATCAGCCGTGGGATGGTGCTGCCCTCCAGCCAGGGGTGCTCCCCGGGGTGGGGATGGAAAGCGAACACTGCTAGACCTGAGGGTGGGACTAGTGCAAGGTGAAGCGTGGGCTGCTACTAATACACACACCCTGGTCCCCATGGCTTGGATCTGCCACTAGCCAGGCTGCTGGGCCCCAAAATAAGCTCCCTGGAAGGCTCGCAGCCCCTGGTTCATCTCATTTCCTCAGCCCCCTACACGTCCTGCCTGTCCCTGCCAGCCTTTCTGCCTCCTGTATTCTCCATCCAAACTTGGGTGGAGGGTGCTGAGCACCCACAGCCCCTGTGGGGCACCTCCTGGCAGCAGGAACAACGTGTCACTCTGCACTTGTCCCACCAGGAATGACCACTGTCCCCAGGCACGGCCCCAGGCCTTCCATCCTGCCAGGTGTTATCAGTTACTACACACTTACACCGTGTTTCCACAACACTGGATGTTTAGGGAATGCTACAGGGTGTTTGTTGTAAAACACCAGATATTAATGCTGCTTCCCTGCCCCCAGGAACGCTCCCCAGTGACACTCCTGTGTCCATGAGCTGCCACATCTGCCCCCGGCATCTCCACTGCCCTTTCCATGAGGGTCCAAAAGTGCTGCATCTCCCAGGCTTGCCCCTGCCCTGAGGCAGCTGTGCTGCTGAGAGG